CCTGAGGAATGCTGACTGGGTGCAGAGCTGACTGGGTGCAGAGCTGACTGGGTGCAGAGCTGGCTGCTAAAGTTCCCAGTTGGGGCTGAGTGTGTGGCTTAAAGTCCACCATAGGAAGATGCTCGGAGAGAGATGACAGACTAAGCAAACTGCATATGCTTTGTCTACCCTCAAGAGCACAGAGCCTGAAGTATGACTGCCCTGATGGGTCAGCTGCCTCCAGCCTGACTTTATCCAAATCCATGTCCACTTCTACATCTATGGACTTACACCTGCCTGTTTGCAGGAAGAGGTACTAGCTTTCCCATGATTTGGCACTGCCTAAATTCTCCAGCTGTTAAAAAAAAAAACACTTTACATTTCGTAAGGGGATTTTCTGCTGCCAGAAACCTTAGTGAGGTTAAAGCGTTCATCCTAAAACAAATTAATAAAAACACAACTTAAATATTTATTTTACACTATTTAATGTTACAGCTTTGTTTGGGTTCATATTTTTCAATAAAATGGGTTTGCGTTCATATGCATGTCAGGATCCATCCCTGCCATGGCTGTTGTCCTGTCTGGCCAGCAGGTGGCGCTGGCCAGTCCATCTGGTGTTCCCCACACCGGAATGTCACCCAGCGTGCCAGAACACCCAGGGTCAGCGCTGACTCCGCCTTCTGTCTTGAAGTCTGCAGACAGATCCTTGCAGGCAGGTGGCTGATGAGGATTGTAATCCAGGGTGACATCACCAGGTCACAGAAGTTGCAGACCGTTTACATGTATATAAAGCAATATAACACACTAAAGGAAAGGGGGAAAACCAGAAAAGCATAAAAATACCATGTTAAGAAACGCTCTTTATATCTGTATCAGTTGTGGTGGATCAATCACCTTTGGAATGGCAAACTACCTACCTTGCCTCATCAGCAGAAGAGCTACTATATGAAAAATACAATGGCATCTGACTGAAATCAACGATCGGTGACAGCTGATTCTATGCACACACAACACAAAACCATGCTATAGTTTTGAATTTTGTATAGTTTCGAATCTTGATTGGCAGTGTTAGGGGAGGGGTAAGGTGTGGAAGTCAAGCATCAATACAAATGGATAAGAAACAGGCTAAACCATCAACTGGCTGGTTTAGAAAAAAGGGGAAAGAAGAGGAAGAAACTGAAATTTAAAATATATGCAGCTATTTAATCTATGAGTATAATACTATGCATATCTAGACATTTCGGACAATTCTGTGGTTCAAAGTTTCTTGAAATAGTTTGGGAAGGCCCTTTTCTGTCCCAGCATGACTGTGTCCCAGTGCACCAAGCAAGATCTATAAAGACGTGGTTGGGTGAGTTTGGTGTGGAAGAGCTTGATTGGCCCGCATACTGACCATAACCCCATTAAACACCTTTAGGATGAACTATAATGGAGATTGTGAGCCAGGCCTTCACATCCAACATCAGTGCCTGACCTCACAAATGCTCTTCTCGATGAATGGGCAAAAATTCCCTTAGACACACTTCAAAATCTTATGGAAAGCCTTCCCAGAAGAGTGCGAACTGTCGCTTGATGCCTACAGATTTAGAATGGGATGTCATAAAAGTGCCTATGGGTATAATGGCCAGATGTCCCAATACGTCACATTTCATGAGAACTGTGCCCTGTTCTCACAAGTATAGGTCTCTGCAGAATGGAGTGTAAATGTCTTTCTTCATCTAGCCACTAGAGGGAGATGGTTTCATGGTCACAGCCAGGTCGACCAGTTTACTCAGATGACATTGCCAGAAAATTTCTAATAGTGTAAATTTATTATAATAGTGTGTTGTTAGCTACAGCAGATAATATAAAAATGGTGGATGGTGGAATAGACTCGACACACTATAGTCCAAGTAATATGTTAGTGGTGAAAAAAAATTCACTTGGCAGTAAGAACATAAGAAATTTACAAATGATTCAGCCCATCAAGCTTGCCCAATTAATAGATCAGAGTTGTTAAAATCTTATCTAGCTTTGATTTAAAGGATCCCATGGTTTTAGCTTCCACTACACTAGCAGGAAAACTATTCAATACTCTAACTACACACTGTGTAAAGAAGTCCTTTCTCAAATCCAGTTTAAAATGTGCTCTCAACTAATTTCCACCGATGTCCAGGAGTTCTGCTACTGAAGGAACTACATAGTTAAATAGCATCCAGACCTGTTAGAATATTACATACCTAGATCATGTCCCCCTTACTATTGCATGGACACAGGACACACTGTGGAGCGGATGCAGGCCGCAGCCTCAATGGCTCGACTGGGGAGCTCAATATTATAACTGTCTACACCTCTAATAATTTAATCCACCACAACCTCCCTCTTCCTGGGGGGAGGGGGCTCGTTGGTGTGCAGTTTGCCATCAGCTCACCTCTATATAGGTAAAGTTCTCATAAATTGTCATAGATTTCATGTTTTTTGCATGTGTACTTTTTTCATGTGTGTATTAGTTTTATATTGATTGAATTAATTTTGATTGAGTTTTATTCGATTAAATTAATTTTATATTGATGGTTGATTTATCATTAGTTAGATAAGTAGATAGGTTTAAACAGGCATTCATTTGGGGGTCTGGAATGGATTAAATTCATTGACATTATTTCTTATGGGGAAATTCAACTTGGACCTCGATAAAATCGCAACTCATCCTTCTGAACTTGTCTTCTGAAACAAATTGAGTTAGTTTTCAAAGGTAGCGCTGTATCTGGCATTCCTCAGCATGCAGTGCCCATGAGTGGAGCTTCATTCACAATTTTAACCTGTTCCTGGAACAATAAAACTGTTACAAGATGGACGGGGTTCGTTTGAACAGTGTTGGGGTCCATATGCTAACTGCTAACCTCACCTCCTACCTCCATCACTACACTCTTGGTATTTGGAAAAGGTTAAAATTTGGAAAAGAAGGCCTCTTTCCTTTCAAGGAAATTGCCATGAATTATTCAAAGCCCCCCCCCCTCCAACCTCACGGACACCTCACATAAGCTAAGGATGCAAATAAAAAAGCCTTGACATATTACTGTGTGACATCAAAAGCTCCTGCTTACGTAAACAAAGCAAGCACAGCCTCCCTGCTGTCGGCATTACAGGGTGTGCTGACAACTAGGACAGACTTGTGATAATGCGCTATACAAAAATAAATTTGTTTGTTTGTTGTTGTTCGTTGTCCTTACCCAACCCCCCCCCCAGCTCATTTCTCTCCCATCATGCTGGATATGGATCCACTGCTATTGCCACAACCCACAATCGGCAGCAAGGAGCAGCTCCAATGTTTGCCATTCCTGTTTTGACTAACTTGAGGGTGAACAAAGTGTCCACAAAGCACACAGCTATCCTGTCTAATCCCACTCCAGTTGTGCATCATCCATAGACAAAAGTTGTGATACACTAAAGTTACAACAATTTAATATCAGGTCTTTGGCTGCAAATATTAATGATTTCATAATCAAGAGAAACCTTGATTTTTTTTCTGAAGCTTGATTAAATGAAAACAGTGCAGCGGTTCCTCTAAACTTCCTTTTTATCAGTGAAGATAGAGTACTTAGGAAAGGAGGTGCAGTAGCCACCTTATTTAATGCATACCAATGCAAGCAGTTGTTATATGGAAAGTCTGGCTTTTTTTAATATCTTGCTCTTCAGCTGAGATCTTGTCAAGCAATATTAGTAACCATACTGTATGTAGGCCTCCAAAATATACTGCAAACTTTTTCAATGACATTGTCTGCCATGTGTATTGATTTGAACATTGCTGTCATCATGGGTCATTTTAATATCATATTGATTATCCCAGAGGTGTGATAACAGCCCCAGACACCATCTGTATTCAGTATTTCCAAATATATTCTTATCTACAATTTATAGTGCTATGATATGTATTGCATTTATAGTATTTACAGTGTTATATGATTTATAGTATTTATTATAATATAGTTTTTCTACCATTATTGTATAATTTTTATATTTACAGTATGTCGTAAATGACAGTATCTTCTTGCACATTCCCTTGCACTTGAACTCCCACTGCATCCATTGGCAAATACTGTACTACTGAATAGTTACTCTGTAGTAATCAGTATTCTTGGTTACCTTTACCTTTCATCATTATTATTTTTCTCCTTAATTATTGTGACTATTACCAGTTTTAGTCAGTCTTATTATTCTTTATTCTTCTTCTATTATTCTTTGTGGTCTTTTATATGTGCTAGCTACTCCAAGCCTAAGTTTCTTTCATGATCAATAAAGTATCTATCTATCTATCTATCTATCTATCTATCTATCTATCTATCTATCTATCTATCTATCTATAAAACAGAGATTTTTAATTCTTATTCTATGCTGTGTGTGTGTGGCTTAATGTACCTTCCAACTCCTGAAAATGTAACCAGCTGTGCCTTCAGGGACATCAAAAAACCATGATATTGTTTTTTCCTAATTTGTGCAATTACGTTAATTTACCTCCAGCTTCTTCGCAGTGATGCCAGGTTTTTAATACTTTTTCAAAAGTGTTGTGATTCCATAGAAGCACAGTGTTTAAAAGCATTGTTCCAAAATCTGTATAAAAATCATGCATTCTATTTCTAAATCAATTGTATCGATTTCTGCAGTGGATTGGCGCCCCATCATGGGTTGTTACCTGTCCCTGTTACCCTGCGTAAGACAAGCAGGTACAGAAAATGGACGGACGGATTCACATGCAGAGTCTATTGTAAGGCAGCTGTGTTCTCATTACAGCAATTCTGTATTGTTCACGTCAGCAATTCTCAACATGTCACATTAGAATATTTTTTAGTTTCCATGTTTATAAATAAGAATATATCAGAAAGTAAAATTTCAGTATAAGATTCTAATTCAGTAAAATGATCGGATTTGTTTATTTAAAATGTATTTTCTCAGTTGACATATTTCTTATTCAAAACTGTAATTCCCGTTAGGATATACCTACTTAAACAGGACTGTTGAAGTTTAAGTTTGACACCCATGGGTACCCGTAGATAAACGTAGTCACGCGCTACACACAGTCAGCTGACCAAATAAGAGTCAAACGAACAAGAAAAAAGAAGAACTGAATACGTTTTAGTACTTAAATCTTTATTACATAACTTTATAGGAATGGAATCGACGTTAGAGCAGCATCTTGACGACACGTAAGTGTGAACTGAAATTAATCGGTACAATATCATGAGCCAGTTCAGCTTCCTAACTTGTTTGGTCATTCTCGAATTTTTGTAAGGTACCAAAAATCTAATGTTATTAAATGCATTTGCTGTAGTTTAACTGTGGAATTTCTTATTCTTTTCGAGAAGAATGAAAAATCATGCTATAGTCGGTGTCCTGTGCACGGATCAGCAAGGTCACAACTTAGGCTGTAAGTATTTGCAGTTTGTACCTAGCTGGTTAGAATGAAGGTTGCCTAACTTTATCTGGTTGAATAATGATTACACTAATATGGCCACACTGCTGTTGTTCACGCACCTAAAGCTCGACCTCACGTTATTGCGGTGCCACGACAAGTCCATTCCAGAAAATGAACAATTAACTAAGCATGCTGCAGTAACTATTATTGTTGTTTTGTTTTTATTGGTTATGTTGTCTGGTCTGTATAATTTGTGTGACAGATACTTATATTTAAAGGAATTCATAAGAAAAGGTCCACTGTACTTAAGCATTACAAGATGTTGCGTACTTTTCATGCGTGTACAGGCCGTGGGTCTATGTCGGATGAGCATGGAGGTGTGGTATCAGTACTGGCGAGGCAAGCAGCATCTCTGACAAGAGACCCCACCGACACCCCTATTGTTTGCTTGGAGTCAGAGTCTGGGTAAGTTTCTGTCCTTTTCATGAGTAAAAAATGTAGGGGTTAGGATAATGTAAAGCTGCGTGACCTGCTTAAATATTTTTCTTTGTCTTGGCTGCATTGGTTTATTGGTTTAAAAATTAATAAATGGCCAAAACTTAACTGAATGATTTAAAATGCATTGAAGTGCATTGATGGAAAGGTTATATCCTTTTTCAATATAGAATAGTTTTGAGGCCAAAATTATGCTCTATTTTTATGCATTCTCCAAGCTGCAAGCATGAACATTTATCAAGTCAGCCGTGAACCTCGGTCTCAGATCATGTAATAACCATTGTCCACTAATTATCTCTCTGCAGTAATGTGTTGATCAAAAGCCATGGAACGATCACAGTCGCCGTGCACAAGATGACTGTCTGACGTCCTCCTATGGGTTTATGAAAATAACTGTGTTTTAGTCAGTAGTATGTTCAAGTTTGCACTGCTGTAGATGGTGTTGTGTTTGCTAATGAATAATGATGTCAATGTTTTCTACTGACTTTAAATTTCATATGTTTGAGAAATTTAGGTCCTCAAATTATTTTTTTTATTTATGGCCAGCTTTTTTACTTGGTAGATGCGTTTGTCACCTGTAATAATGGGGGAAGTGAGCTTGTGCTGGGTACAGTTCCTGTGTTCTGTCCCTCACTGCCTCTCAAACAATAGATTATTGTTTTTCCCATTATTAGAATAAAGATCTAAGGTTCTCTAATGGTACCCAAGTATTTGAAAATTCACTGCTTATTCTATAATTCTTAAAGGTTTCATGATATTTTTCTTTTAATTGTAATTATATGTTATAAATCATTAAAAGAAAAAAGTGAACCCAGTTACCCAGTTTAAACATTTAATATTGTCATAGAGTCTCATGTAACCAAGGGGAGTAAAATATGTGTTTTTAATGCCTTAACAAGAAGAATATGCACGGATGCATATTTTCTCTTTAGTAACAATACCTAGTTGTGCCTATGAAAAAAAATATCACGTGCTTATTCAGGCATGTTTTAGAATAGATATATAGCAGAAAGCTGGTGAGTGTTAGCTGGCCTATGGATGTTTCACAGAGTGCAAACTTGTTATGCCACGCCTGAGCCCAACTAGATTGGTATAAATGCATCTGACAGTGTATTTCAAAAAGTGTGCAGTTTAAAGACCATTTGAAATGTATCAAACCTAAAAATATAATGAAGTTTAGTGACTGGTATATTATGGCATAATCAAAATCAACCTTGAGCATTTTTGGCTGACCACCTAATAATTTTTACTGTTTTGTGTTTTGAAAAGTATTGCTTTATTACAGAACTGCGGTATCTTAGAACAAGTTATATAATTCTTTGAAAAATAAAAATCACACATTGAATCCAGAATGTACTATAGCCTGCACTGAATATTGATCTATAATGATTGATTTTGTGTTTTACATTTTATCTGCAACTTATAAGCAGTTGGGGTTTGTATTGATTGGCAAAGACCAGAAGAAACTACCTGCGGAAAGGTGTATGATGCTTCTAGGTATTTCCTGGCTACAGGAAAAATTTGGAGGCTATCATCATTACCAAGGATAACCAACACATAGAGAGGGAAACCTTTCTATTGAAAACACTACCTGTGAATTCTTTTTTGTTATATATTTTTGTATTTGCACTGATGATTGGCAAATTTCCAATAATATCTTATGATGTATATGGAATACCTAAAATGCAAATATATTGCTATTTGAGTAGCATGTTTTAATCTCATTTATACCATGGGGATGATGAATTCTAAAATCTGATTGGTGGGAATGCAACCACTTACATATTGTTCACCAGGTGAATCACATCTGGATATCAATATGTGATTTGATCATTTTTAATTCTAACTAAGGAAGGCCTAATGCATGACCTATTGTGCACTGCATGTGTTTATACACGTGGTGTTGGAGGCAAAGATGCATTTGCGTCCTTATAACCGGCCTCCACTGTACATCAAGTGATTCTGTGACCGTGCGACCCTATGTTTAAAAATGTATCATGCACAATATGTCATGCATTGATCCTTACATATGAGCAAGTATGTTGTTCCATAAAACCAGCATGAACTTTAATGACATCCCATTCTTAATACATGGGCTTTAATATGGAATTCACCCACCCTTTGCAGCTATAACAGCTTCAGCTCTTCTGGGAAAGTTGTCCACAAGGTTTAAGAGTTTGTTTATGGGAATTTTTGACCATTCTTTCAGGAGAGCGTTTATGAGGTCAGGCAGTGATGTTGGACGAGAAGGCCTGTTCGCAGTGTCCGCTCTAATTTATCCCAAAGGTGTTCTGTCGGATTGAGGTCAGGGCTTTGTGCAAGCCAGTCAAGTTCCTCCACACAAGACTTGCTCATCCATGTCCTTATGGGCCTTGCTTTGTGTACTGATGCGCAGTCATGTTGGAACAGGAAGGGGCCGTCCCCAAACTGTTCCCACAAAGTTGGGAGCATGAAATTGTCCAAAATGGCTTAATGCAGCATTAAGAGTTCCTTTCACTGGAACTAAGGGGTCAAATCCAACCCCTGAAAAACAGCCCCACACCATAATCCCCCTCCACCAAACTTTACACTTGGCACAATGCAGTCAGGCAAGTACTGTTCTCCTGGCACATACACCAATTCGTCACTCCAGAGAACACGTTTCCACTGCTCTACAGTGCAGTGGCAGTGTGCTTTACACCACTGCATCCGACACGTTGCATTGTACTTGGTGATGTAAGGCCTGGATGCAGCTGCTCGGCAATGGAGACCCATTCCATGAAGATCTCTATGCACTGTTCTTGAGCTAATCTGAAGGCCACATGAAGTTTGGGGCGACCTGTTCTTTCACAAATGTTTGTAGAAGCAGTCTGCATGCCACAGGTGATTGTATACACCTGTGGCTATGGAAGTGATTGGAACACCTGAATTCAATGATTTGGTGTGGTGTTCAGGTACTTTTACCAATATAGTGTATGTAAGGAATCAGGCTGGAGTAAGAACAGAAAAGGACAGTCAGTGTAGGACTAATATGTTCAGTTTAATACAGTTAAGAACTCTAGCAGATGCTTTCTTTACAGATTAAACTTTATGGGAGCATTTATAAAACTTGAATACACAACATTACAGTTATCTTGAGTTAATAAACATTTGCCGTTATTCAGCAGAGGGAAGTTATGCAGTATGTTATCCATCCCTAATGTCCTCCATATGTTTCAAGCTTAGAGGATTGAAATCTGGCTTGATATGCAGTTGTATGTCACCATTATAGCTATGATAATTAATACCATATCAGCTGAACACCAAGAAACTGTTCTTTTGTGAATATTACAAGTAATTCATCATTTACTCAAACTTTGTAACTTTCTGACATACGCCTGAAACCAACAAGCAAAAATGTTCACCAAGTAAGACCATACATTACACTGTCCTATTGTACCAAAGGTGTCACGTATCCCTAAGCACTAAGATTAGCAGTCATAGGAGAGATGCCATGTTGTTTCAGTGTTACTTGAATTCAGTCTGTGTGTCATAAACCTTATTGGATTGTTACAGAATTTTCCATATAATTGGAAATCGTTCATAGGAATCTAAGTTAATCTTTTTGGAAATATGATTTCCTTTAAAGAACTCTAACCAAAAAAAGATTTGTTTAGTTCCACCTAGATATTTAATCTTAGCTATTCAAAACTGTGTTGCATTTATACTATTGTGAGTTCAGTGATGGCATTTGTATAAAAGAAATTCCAAACTTCAACTATGAATGATTCAGTTGATTCATTTGATATATCCTTTTTATGGCTTAAATGTTAAGATACAACATACTAGCAGAAGGCATGATGAAGTACATTTAATCAACCACATGTCTTTGCATTAAGAGGAAGGAAAGTGATTTTATGTCAGATGAATATGACCTGTGATTTATTTACTCATAACTACGTTGATGGGATGGAACTTTTTGAAATTGCTGGTAAGCCAGAATAAAAATCTGTCAGCCCATAACTTTAAAGTTAACCCTTACCAATGCAGCAAGCATTTACATCAATAAAATACAATTACAAATGTGTTTTAGTTAATTGTAGAAAAACTTCTACATTTTACCCGATAGCATAACTGATGTTTTATTGGATTATTAATGTTTATTTAGCTCAACAGTAATATGTTTTATCGATTATAACTACTGTTTTTGAGATATAAGAATTGTTTCACTGGCTTTTATTAGATGTATAATGTATATTTAGCTTGATAGCAACATGTTTTATTGATTATAACTGTGTATTTAGCTCAATAGCGACATGTTTTATTGATTATAACTGTATATTTAGCTCAATAGTGACATGTTTTATTGATAACTACCATATATTTATCTTGGCAGGACCATGTTTGCTTAACCTGAATGATTTGAAATAAGTAGGCATGTGTTATTCGGTATTTGGGCTCTGTTAGCATTACCCCCATTCAAGTCAAGTAAACTTATGTAACTTGATACTATTTTCTACTTTACTTGTACAAGGACGGTACTTCCTCCACCTATGATAGTGTTGACAAAAAAGTCTGAGCAAGCAACATTCTTTGTCTCTGGGACCCAGAGAAGATAGCAATCATCCATCTGTTTGTAAGCCTCTCACACTCAGTTGGATTACCACCTTGGGTTGCAGTTTCCATCTTGATGTATGTGCTGTCCTGTGCTTGCTTGTACATATGAGTTCTCCAGTGGATATGTCTTCACCCTGGGAGCCACTCCCAATCAGGGCCGTAGCCAGATATGAGGTCACTCAGGTCTGGACCTTGGTAATTTTTGTAAGAGCTAAAAATAAAATTTCAGGCTAAATATTCACCTGAATAAAAAATCAGCAGTTGAAAATGTCTACGGGCCAAATGGATTCTTAATTCAGTTTGAATGTGTTAATAATAGTGTCTGCTGTGTGTGTGTGTGTGTGTGTGTGACAGAGAGAGAGAGAGAGAGCACACATTGTGCACATTGTGAAGGAGGGCATTCGGTAAGACAAAATAATGATCATTATATGTTCCAAAACTGCGTCCTGCTGTCGCGTTTGGAGTACAGATAACTGTATGAAACATGATAAATATAATCATTGGCGAGGCGACCCTGGCCATGTTAAAGGTTGGGTTTCTTTCATATTACACCTAATGGGCTAGATGAGGCTAACTAATGTTTCACGTAACGTCATTAATAAAAAAAAATAATTTATGAAGGGGACGGTATCAGTAATAGTGTCCATAGAAACATTTCAAAGCCTTGGCTATCAAAACAAGTGTATTTGATGTTGGCTTATAATGGTGTGTTAATATGAAGCATTTCTCTTTCATTTTTATCTTTATACAGTGGTACCTCGACCCACGAACAGTCCTGTTCACGAACAAATCAGGTTATGAAGCAGAAGTTCGAAAAATTTTTGTACCGGTTCACAAACCGTGTTTCAGGCTGCGAACATAAAAACATCCCCCAAAAGCATCCCAAAAACCACCCAAAACACAAAGAAGTGTACATTATGCCCAAGAACGGTTGTGAAATGTATAAAAAACTTGTAGTAGATGTATGTCTTATTATATATCTTCAGTATGGAGCCCGGGAGGGAACATGGGAGAAAAAAAAAGTGAACATTTGCGAGATTTCGCAAAAAAGTTTGTTTTTTATTGTAAAAGTACTTCTGGGTCAGTCGGTGATCATAGGGAGAGGACAGCAATGGAGCGCGCACAATTGTGGGAGCCGTTCAGAGAGTTTTATTTTGAACTTGGCCTCAAATATAGAGACATTCAATCGGTGCTTGAGAGTAAACATGGTTTACACTTAAGTGAGAGACACTTGAAGAGAATACTTAGTGCAAAGGGCTATTCTCGTCGCAAAATGTACTCCGAACTGGTGGACATGCTTGAATTCATTAGTAACCAACTACAGAACTCGGGACAGCTTCATGGGTACCGATGGATGTATGCTAAATGCCGGGAATATGGACTACGTGTGAGAAAGGTGGATGTGCGCTTGGCTTTGAAGGAGTTGGATCCCTGAGGGGTGTCATTAAGGCAAGCAAGACGTCTCACACGAGGCAGTTACCTTTCAAAAGGGTCGACCTTCATCTGGCACCTGGATTTGTATGATAAACTTAAGCCATACGGTATTTGTATAAAGGAAAATTGATGGGTTTTCAAGAAAAATAATCTGGCTCAATGCCTACACAACAAATAGTGACCCAAAGTTGATCAGTGGATATTATATGGAAGCAGTGCAACGTTTAGGTGGCTGTCCTAGAGTATGAGGGGTGATCTTGGAATGGCTAATATGTCAGAGGCTTTCAGCGTTTCCTTCTCCTCACTCAGCCAGACATTTTAGAATTTTTTTAATATATATTGT